AGTACCAGAAATGTGGACATAATATTACGACTTTCTGTACGTTTTTCGATGGTAAACAGCGTGTTAATTGAAATAAGTTACCTACCGCAGATTCTGCAGATAACTGCTTCCAGACACGAGTATCGCGTTTTCGATAATTCTCTGTTTAGGTTTCTATACTTTTAAATTTATAAATTTAGCGCTATAGATTGTGTTTTTCTTTTAATTTCGCGTAAGAAATAATTACACAAGCGACGTACACTCCTGTTTATAAGTATTGGGGCATTTGCTGTATGTGAAGTATTTTGAAATTTACTGAATTCTACTGAAATCTTTGAAAATCTACTGTATTCTACTAATATCTATTGAAATATTGTGAAACCCTCAGAAATTTACTAAAATTTACTGAAATCTACTGAATTCTATTAAAATCTAATGAAATTTACTAAAATATACTTATTAATGAAATCTACTAAAATCTTAAAAATTATTTGACACACAAAAGAATTATATTTTAACTGATATATGACACTAACTTTGGCGAGGAAATATAATTGAAATCATATAATACTTTTTACACGAACATAACGTGTGTCCTAATACTTACGAACGGCAGTGAATGTAAATACATTATGAATAAATGTCACAATTTTCATTCGCGTTTTAACAACAAAATTTCGTCACAACCAGATATAACATGATTATGAAAAAGTTAATAATGTACAAGTAACATTTCATTAATTATTCCAATTAGAATTGTTTCGTTGCTCGAAAGTTGAAATACGAAATTTGAACCGGAATTTGGATATTTTCTTTTTCCTTTTTTTTGGTAACAGTTCCACTCGGCTATCAATTAGTTATTTTCACGAGCATTCGCCAATTACAAAGTGCACAGGGGGGAAAAAAAAAGTACAATGGGAGAAAAGAGGAGGCCAAGATCGGGCAACAAATTTACGCAGACGACGAAGCAGAGTAATTGGAAAGCGGCACGACGAGCCTAAATTACTAGACGCAAATTAAACCCCGGTGTTAATGAACTCGCCGATGATGAGGTTGCTGACGACATCTCTGACAATCCTCCTCGACATCTATATCTACTCTGCATCAACCCAGATTCATTCACAGCCGAACTTGACCTTTTCGTATGTTGCTCGCATGTCACTCCTGTCTGCTCGATAAATACAGGGTGTCCCCCGCAAAATGCGCCACCAATAAGCAAAGAGCGACTCTTCTCTGGAATGTTTATGGAAAATGTGTTCACTCGTGGCTTCGTTGTGGAGGCAAAATCGATTTTGAAAATCCGTTATGCATACCGGGTGTTCCGTTTCACTGGAATATCTCGCGAGAGATATCTCTGAATATCCGTAAACGCTACCGTATTATGAATAAAAAAATACAGGGTTCCATTTAAAAAAATTAACTTCACTTTGACACCTCCCCCACTACTAATCTTAGAGAAAAATAATTTAGACAACCTAGTGTCTCCCTATATATCGAACAACTTTTGTAAGAACATTTTTTTCATAACTTCAATCCTTCGTGAGATATTCCACCGTTTCCAGTTAAACGGAACACCCTGTAGATGTACAGTTTCTTGATGAAGAAATAAAAGAAGTACTAGAAATTTTTTCACTAGTTACTTCGCTTTCGAATTTTGAAAATTCTGGAGTACGTGTATTATAAGTTATCGTATTATTTTATTGTCAATTAATTCTATTCACGTTAGTGTTGACAATTCTAACCTTTAAAACAGGGAGGACGCGTTAATTCTTCATTTGAAAATACTCCTTTCTTTTACATCTGTGAATATTCCTTCTTACACTTGTGTATATTAGAAATCATATTAAAGGGGTATTCTGGTTTTGAATGCCATCCTTTGCACAATATTTAGGAATTCTTTTCGGAAGAACCATTAAACCTTTTGCATTAGGGTTTTGCACATACATTTACGAGTATTTAAAGTACATAATATATTTTGTTGAAGTAGAAACAGTCAAAATTGCACGAGTTATAGTTTGTTTTATAGAGTGTGCTTTACAAAAAGTGTGTTGACTGTTTACATGATTGTGGGTCTTCTGCTGGTCTAAAACAGAAAAATGAGGAAGAATCTTAATCAGTATAAATCTGACTATGGCTTGAACCAAAATAAAATAAAAATATTGATTATTTACAAAATGGCAGCATTTTCAATTTAGATTACCGATTTTTTTCATATTTTGCCGTCTTTAGCATGTTCAAAAAGTAAGAAAAAAACGACGGATGTTAAAAATGTTGGTTCGTGCGATAACAGGGTGTGTGCTGAAGATCCTCTACAAATTTAAAATCAATTGATCAACTAGAACTTGAGATATCGTGTAAACCGTTTCTCGTGCAAACTGAGCAAACTCGTCTCGTGTAATTTGGTAATTCCCAATTAAAGAGCACCTCTAATTTAAAGAAGTATTAGGTCATCTCGTAAGTTCGTGCTGAATTTTATAAGTTAGATCAATATTTCCAAGAAACTTTTAAATTTGATAAAAAAAAATAAAGTAAGCACCTTCTCATTCCACAACTTTTTCCTATTTTTTTTTTTTTTTAGTAAGACCATTATATCGTCCTTATAGAATTTCCTTGAATTTCCATTAAAATTATTTTCGCTTTCGGCACGAACTTATGGCACGACCTAATGCATCAATTAACAGGTTGTCAAATTTCTACCCGAGAATCGATCAATTGAAATAAGAAAGAATTGAAAAGTAAATGTTCGTTAATGCTTGCTAATCGAAAGGCTAACAGAAGTATTTATTAAGAACTGGGAGGAAATTATACGAGTTAAATAACAGAGCCATAAAAACGGAAAACAGAAACGATGTTGCCAAAACGGTATCTTATAACGGGAAGAGTGTTTAATGGCACTTCCATCAGAGAAAGGTGCCAAAAGCATGTGGATTCTTCTACCGGAGTAAACAGGCGAGCTTCGAAGTAGCTTTCTCGCTTGAAATCTAGTCTGACGAATGGCTAAAAGCAGCGGCCAAGGGACTAAGGGAGAAATGAAGGAGTTGTGAATCAACAGACAAATTCGAAAACAAACTCTTAGGTTTTGTGATTTTCGGTTACTTTTAAACATGCGTGTATTGAACTGTTTTACAGTTTATCACAAAAATATTCGCACGTCATTTATATTCTTAACTAATTTTTTCTTTATTTTAAATAAATATGAGAATAATTTGAAAAATGTTTCACGTTACATTAGATTCTAATTTTTAATTTAAATATTAAATTGTACAGTCTGACAGAGAAATATTCGGACACCGTTATTATTCTTCACTATTTTGTTCTATATTTTAAATAAATTTGAGAATAATTTAAAAAATGTTTCGCGATACATTAGATTCTAATCTCTGGTTAATGTAAATATTAAAGTTATCATTTTTTAAATATTGAGCTGCAAATAGGGAAACGTCTGCATGTTTAGCTGAGTTTTAAAAGGAAAATATAGCATCGTTTATTTGTCACCTGTATTCAATCTCTAATTTTCATTTTCATTTTTGTTGCTATTTTTATTTATTTAGTCACTAGCAGAGTCATTACTGTTGTATAATTTTTCAACCGATCCTCGTCTGCGTTATGACAATTTATACTTATTTTATAATAATAATAATAACTGCAATAATTCGTTCCATACTCATAACACGAATTGTGTTCCTATTTTTATATATGTATAATATAAATCTGTCAAGTGTCCAGTGACTTCTAAAGAAAAAAAGAGAGGAAAAATTTTAAGTGATAGAATATTCAAAGTTTTCTGTTCCGTTTGGAATTATTCCAAGACAAAAATAACATTTTTCATCACATTATGGACCTTCGGTGTACATATAAGAAATTTTTCGAAAAATACTGATTCATGTGCTTGTAAACATTAAACCTATATTAGCCTATTAAAATCTAAAATTCTCCGAAAAAATAAACTTACAACATTTTTTCAGCATTTTGAATTTGTCACTTTTTCTTCAAACTTTCGAGAATCAATGAAAACTAATTACTCTTTCTAAAAATACCTGATATTTTCAATATTTGAATACAAAATTCAATACTGTAATACATTGGTGACTCTGAACAACTTTTTCCTTTTCCAAAATACAGTTTGAAGCTTCGTTTTTGAATTATTAACGAAAAACACTGGCCAATTACAGCGCGCGTAGAGCCCGCGCTCAGGAGCGAAGAACAGAGGCTATTTTCAGACCTTCGCTATTTTCTTCACGATTTCGACTAATTGCAGTTTTTTCAAAAATTTATACAAATGTCGGAATGACGGCAAAAACCCATTTCTCTAAGCCTTATAAAAATAGCGGTGCAAAGTCAAATTTTTTGACAGCGATCGATAACCGAGAAGTGACGCGTACGCATTTGTTCGATCGCGCGCGGGTGAGCCTCTGTTCTTCGTCTCTGAGCGCGAGCTTTGCGCGCGCTCTGATTGGCCAATGTTTTTCGTTAATAATTCAAAAATGAAGCTTCAAACAACATTTTGGTAAAGGAAAAAGTTGTTCAGAGTCACCCCAGCAACCCCCCATTTCCGGGTGTTCGAGGAGTTACGGGACACCCTGTATAATTCAATATGTATCGAATCTTGTACTATTATTTACCTTATTTCCCTGCAATTTCTTCTGTCATTACATGCACAGGATAACAAAGTTATTTTTACATTATGCGTTGCATTAATCGTCATTCCATTAATTTAACATAAAAGAAAAGCAACGAATAGAAAAGGAAACATGAAAGGAAGGAATAAATAGAAAAAGTTCTCCGTAAAATTGAGAAACTAATTGCAAGAAATTACATCTAATACTTAATTGCTGTACGTAATACTTCTGATAGTCTCGTCACGTGACCTTTGCATAGATTAAACATTCTCTGAATATCTCACCGCTGAAGCGATCATATTTTACATACATACATGAATACATTTAATAAAAGCTGCAAGATTTACCAAGCTTATGAACCTACACTAAAAACTTTTGGCCTCACTTTTGTTTCAGATACGTGCGTCTTAATTGCACAAGAAGAGAATGACGTTTATGAGCGTTTTCACATATCTATTGTTTGTCGCAATGGCACAATCTCACCCGATTTCCTACAGCTCATACGATGAAAGAGAATTGTCCCGAGATCACTCTCCGCTTCTATTCCTTGTTGATCACCGAATTCCAGACATGGAGGTACGATAGCTTTTAACTCTCGATAATTTTCATTTATCAGCCCGTTAATCGGGGGATGATGAGTTAATTCGTCGATGGAAAATGTTTCTACAGCGCGCAGGACGAGTTAACTCGTCACAGAATTTTAACGATTACACGCGTACACTGACGTTCATACACCACCGGCGAAAAGTTTGGAATCACCGAGCATTGCAATATACACAAAAATTTCCAGAAAAAAGGCAGCGACTTTGAGAATTTTTTATCGATGGAATCAACTGATATGAGATAAATTGATAAATGTAGAATTGAGATAAACTTCAAATCTATAAAAAATTAGCAGCAGATTTAATATTGATGAAACGTGGGAGGTGATTCCAAACTTTTGGCCGGTAGTGTAAGTATTAAGACACGTAAATATAAAAAGTATTACATAATTTAAATTACATTTCATCGCCAAAGTTAGTATCATATGAGCCGTTCACAGGCCAAAGTGGTCAACTACACCTTTTGCATTTTTTTTAATTTGAGCGTCAAAACACTTGATCGACGCTCATATTTTTATATTTAAAATAAGTTTCCTTGATAATTGAGCTTATCACCGCTAAAAGTTTGCGTGGCCGTTGAATAATAAATGTGATTAACTCCATATCCTAAAGTAAATCATTGCAATAATGTAATTCTAAATTCTTCTAAGAATTTAACCAAGTAACTTTTTAACACAACGGTATAAATAATATTAATATTTACATTTGATGAACATATAATTTCATCAATTTTCTCTACTTTTTCTTTTGTGGAGTTTATCGATCTGGCAAATAAGCGGCTCATACACCACCGGCCAAAAGTTTGGGATCACTGGGAGAAGATTCGAATGTAATGCATGTAAGAAGGTGTGATGAGAGTGGAAGATAAGATTTAACGTAAACTAAGTCCATTCTTTGTTCCTTGAGGCTAGAATTATCAATAAACCAACTAACTACAGTAGAGCGCCAGCTATCCGAACCAATTGGGAGTGAGAGGTTGTTCGGATAATCAAACAGTTCACTTAATGAAACATATGCGTGGTACTTACCCAGTTTATAACTATAGGAATGAAGCCTAAAATTACTGTAGGAACCGACGACGGAAAAATATTGAAGGACCCCCAACGGGAATCGAACCCGGGACCTTCAGCTTACCAAGCCGAGGCTTTGCGCGCTACGCTAACCACTCCCTCTCTATTCTCCCTTGGAGGTTTCCTATTTGGGTATGAAGGCCCCGATGCTACACTCGGCCATCCTGTACTGACATTCGCCCTCGAATGACCTAAATTCAACAGCTCAACACTTTCGGGTACACTCCCCCAACACAGTGGCACAACAGCCGAAACAACTCATTTTTGGAAGACGTGCACAATCCTCAACATGTTTTTCATCGCACAACTCTCCTGGAGTTAGATACCTCCATCTCGGACGAGCCCCCATTTGTAGGAACCTAGGGAAAAATATTGAGGGACCCAATCGAACACGGGACCTTCGGCTTAGCAGGCCGAGGCTTTGCGCGCCACGCCAACCACTCCCTCTCTGTTCTCCCGTGCCGGTTTCCTATTTTTTTGGTAGTAGAGGCCCCGATACTACATTACTTATTGATGAAAATATAAAAAAGAATGCTTTAAAGTAACAATATACATTTATTAAGAAAGTTTATCTTTTACTTATCAATCGGTACCGCTAGAGCATAAGTTTGTTTACTCCTCGAACCGATGGTTTGGATAACTGACGCTCTACTGTAATTAACTAATTTGTTGTCGTTCGAGCATTGTTTTATTCTTTTATCAAATTACCAGACGTGTCTCAAAAATCGTGACGAATTTTACACTGAACACCCTGTATAGCGCAAGGAAACAAGAAATTTTTACTTGAACAAAATACAGTGGATTCCGGTTAATTGGGACAAATTAGACCGGTCCCAATGTGTCCCAATTAACCGGAATCCACTGTATCAGAAAATACATATAGTAGAACCCCGTACAACGGGACCAAAAAGAAATTCTGAATTTGTAATTTTGGGTTAATTAAATTTGGCCCAAAAAGCGATATCGGTGGAACTTAATTTGTGTTATATTTCCCGCGTTACAGGGGATTCTCTACTGTATAACATTACAAACTGAACCAATTCCCTTGAAAGAATGTTAAGCCGGTAGTTTCGACTACTTTAGTAAGTTCTCGCGTTGACCTAGTCCCTATTGTACACGTACAAGCGAAAACAATCGTCGAGGATTGGATGTTGAAAGTACTGGACAGTTGCCTTTGTCGAAATGCTGGGATTTGAATGTGTTGTATACATTTCGTATCCTGAATCTGTAACGAACGATCGACAAGAGTCCTCGAACGACCGCGTATATCCTCTCCGAGGATGATTCACGCACATATAACAAATATAATAGCATCGCGACGCATGCAACCGTTCAAGATCCACATAGACACACGGTTATCAAGTATTGGCTGGACGTGAAACGACCATGATATATTCCTTTGCTGATACAATTGAATTCAAAGTGTGAAATGTGAATGGATCGATGTATCTCTCACCTAAGGCGTTGCACAAAGAAAATCAAACGCTCGCGTCAGACCTGCTTTCCGTTTACCGGCTATCGTCGTATAAGTTGATTGTTCCTTTGGCGTTTCGCGTGTCAAATGTTCGAAAATTTCGGAAAATACGTATTTACAAGTTTCGTTGCACAGTTTACAGTGGTGCGACGTTTTTCTGGCTTTTTAGTCACCGTAGAGTCACCTATGACGTCGAAATGTCCTTGTTTTAACGATTGAAATTGGTGAGTCGATGTCACAAACCCGGCCCTGACAAAAAGTTTACCACGGGAATAATGAAACAACGTAAGTGCGTTACAATTACATGAATTTGTTTTCTATCAAATGTGGAAGTAACAATGAGTGCAGGGCCCCCTCGAGGAGTCTTCCTACTGCGACGGCTGAAAAATCTTAATTTTTCGGAAATTTAAAACAAAGCAAATGCTGCACGTATCCTTTTGCAAATTTGTACGTTTATTCTATCATCTTTCAAGAGCACAAAAATATTTTTTGTAAGTGAAAATATCTGTTTGTTGTAAAATAGGACCACCGTGAACAGAGCGCCTTGAAAAATGTCCTTCCCCATGGCTGACATGATATCAGACGGTTGCACTTATCCAAAATACGAAATGCAAAGACATTCTTAATCTGTAGACGTGTGGCAAGGTTTCAAAGCAATTGCTCTCGATTTTAGCAAAAAAAGTGATGGTTTTCTTGACCGCAAAGTCTGAATTTTGAAAATATTTGCACAGTTCTAGTTCAGACGATAAAGCAACTTCTGCTTGACTTAAACTGTGCAACTACGACGATTATTTGTTGAAACAAAAATTTTTCCTTTGCTCTATAGTGCATCTTAAACGTTGACTTTTTCTCGACAACAATGACTTTTGCAATCTTATAAATATTAGAGGACATACAGGGTTAAAAGCAGAACTGTTAGGCTCGACAGCGTGGGGCGGAATTCAGCAGATTTTGGAAGATTTCAATAGATTTCAGTAGATTTCCGACGGTTTCAAAAGATTTCAGTCAGTATTAGTAAAATACTGTCGATTTTAATGGAATTCAGCAAATGTTGGAAGATTTCAGTAGAATTCAGTAGATTTCACTTAGATTTCCGTAGATTTCAGTAAATGTCCTAATACTTATGGAGAAGTAGGGGAGAGTCGTGCAGTACCGGCCAGCTACTTAGTAAATTTGAAGGTCTAAGTAATAAATAATGTTAGTAAAAATCATTTAAAAATAGAATAGAACTTTTATTTAGGCATCGATATTTTCTTGATCCGTACACTCCACGTGAGCCCAACCATTGCAGCTATGAAAACTAACTTTTCTCGTACGGAACACCAGCGTAAAGGTTAAAACGTCTTAGAACTCTGGTAATACTGAAGAAAAAAGAATCTCAGGGCTGTAGTATTCATTTGTTTTTCCATCAACAGTGCAGTCAACTAACAGTATAAGCGAGATCTAGCTTTGGCCGGTACTGCACGATTCTCCCCTATGCACTTCGATTGATAAAATTACACTGATCACAAAGTAACAGTTTACCTTCACTTCAACCGAAGAAAGCGCATATTTCATACGTAATGACCTAATTACCATTGAAAGAAAATTTGATTATTCGTTTTACAAAGTTTCCGAATGTTATTTCCTCCGAATTGATTCTGATCTTCTCCAAATTTTTAGACGGTGACATAATCCACTCACGTTCATAAGTAAATGTTAGAACACTTACAGAATTTGAGCTAAATCTAAACAGTCGTTACAAAATTATTAAGGTCCGAAAAGAATTGCTCAATTTGAAATCTCGTAGTACAAGAATCATATATATATTTCTATCGACGTTTCGTCATCTCAATACTACCGCTAAATTCATAAGTTCGAAAAAAGTCGAAAATTAAATTCTTCTTCTTTTCGTCACACACTTTCCTCCCCTATTTTCGTGATTTAACATTTTCTGGATAACTGTATCAGAAGTCGTATTTTCCTCGCAACTACGGTATGCTAAAAGTAGACAACTCTAGCAGTATTGGGAAATATTAAAGTGGACAAGTTTAAAATAAACTCTGTAATGCTAAAACTCGTTAACAAACTCGGTTGTTCTACTAATGAGTTTAGAATATCTACTTGTAGTATTAAGGTGACGATATGACCATTTAAATGCACGAACGTAATAGATGTCCCAATACTTATAAACAACGGTGTACATATAGGGTGTCCCAGTATTAATGGTACAACCGAGGAGGAGGCGATTCTACTTGAAAAGGGAGTCAAAAAATAGGATAAATTTTTGTCATTTGAGGCTTAATTTCGAGAAAATCGAACTCAACTATGTCTACGTACGTCTCGACATACGTTTGTACTAATATCCGATGCCAATCTCTTGATCAGTACCGATAGTACATTTATTAACGATTAGCTTAACTTAAATTTACATTACCGAACGAATTGTTG